GGAAATAGGTATTTGCACATAAATACTAAGCAATGCTCTTTCTTCTTCCTACATCATCGAGTTTCAGTTTTGCAAGATGAAGAAGTATAGAAATATGCAATTATATGAATGTATTTAATCATTAGTTAGGGGTTAATTTTGTATTATGTCTTTTCCACAATTTACATTTGTAATGAAAAAAATTTATAGTTGTTGTTAAAGTAGTACAAATGAATTGCTTATGTGATGGGAGTTGTGCTTGTCAGCTTTTTATTGAAGTGACAAAATTCCTGAAAGAAATAATGTATTAAAAAGAAAGACTTGCTGGAAGTTGGGGGCCCATGCCTATAATTCTAGCTATTCAGAAGACTTAGATCTAAGGATCACAGTTCAAAGGCAGCCCAGGCAGGAGAGTCTGTGTCTCTTATCTCCAATTAAGCACCCAAAAAAAGCCAGAAGTGGATTTGTGGCTCAAGTGGCAGATTGCCAGCCCTGAGCAAAAAGCTCAGGGACAGTGTTCAGGCCATGAGTTCAAGCCAAACGACCAGTTAAAAAAAAAAGTTGAAAGACTTAGCAATTTGAGAAGTGGTGATCAGGAGGGTCACAGTTTTTTGCCCAGGCAAAAAAAAAATCATGAGACTCCATATCTCAGCTAATAACTGGGCACAGTGACACATATCTGTCATTCCAGTGACATGGGAGGTTGAGATTGGAAGGATTAGGGTTCTAGGCCAGCCCAGGCATAAATACAAGACTCTACTTGAAAAATAACAAAGGCGGGGGAGGGGGGAGGCTGGGAAGGGATGTGAAGGGTAAACAAAAGGAGGAGGCTGCAATGCTTGGTAAGAAATGTACGCATTATCCTGCCCATGTAATTGTAACCCCTCTGTTCAGTATGTTCACAAATAAAATTAAAAAAAAGAAAAAAAAGAAAAAGAACAAAGGCAAAAGAGACTGGGGAAAACAAAGGCAAAAGAAGCTGAGGGTGTGGCTCAAGTGGGAAAACACCTGGCTTGCAAGCACAAGACCTTGAGTTCTAACCCTAATACCAGAAAATTCTATATGTGATCTAATTCTGCAAGAAGAAAAAAGGCTACATTTTACATCTAAGAATATATATATATGTGTGTGTGTGTGTGTGTGTATATATATATATATATATATATATATATCTTCCTGATGGAATAATCATCTTATGTCTGTATCCCAGTAATAGAATTTTCTATTAAAATCTTTATGGAATGTTAGTGTAGACATTCATGTTCTGTTGAGGTTGTTATGTGATGTGTCACCTTTCACCTATTTGTATTCCACCTACTGGTATTCTTGTTTTTCCTTTTAATAACTCTTCCAATCTCTAATTTTTTGTGTACTGGTTGTGGGGTTTCAAGTCAAGGCCTAGGCACTATCCCTGAGATTTTTTTTTTCTTTTTTGCTCAAGGCTAGTGCTCTACAACTTAAGCCATAGCTCTACTTCTGGCTTTTTGGTGGTTAATTAGAAATCAAAGTCTTCATGGACTTTTCTGCCTGGGTTGGCTTCAAAGGGCAATCCTCAGATCTTAGCCTCGTGAGTAGCTAGAATTATAGGCATGAGCTACGGCATCTGAAAATACTCCAACTGCCTTTTTTTAAATTGCCAGCTCTGGTGCTGGAAACCCTGGGCCTGGGTGGTGTCCCTCAGCTTCCTTTGTTCAAGGCTGGTGCTCTACCACTTGAGCCACAGGGCTACTTCCAGCTTTTTTGAGTAGTTTATTGGAGATAAGAGTCTCATGGACTTTCTTGCTTTGAACCATGATTCGCAGATCTCAGCCTCCTAAGTAGCTAGGATTACAGATGTGAGCCACTGGTGCCTGGCTCATACTCTAATTTTCATTTTCAGGGGGAAATTTCGTTGATTTTTCATATTATGTATTACTATAAGTACAATTTGTTGTTTTCTTTTAATTCATTTTTGACAGTACTTTCTTCTTTCTAGATATTTTCTGCTTTACCAGGTTAATGTTCTTGCCATTTCTTTCCATATATTTTTGTTTACTTACTAATTGGGAAGCTTCCCTTTTTTGCCAGTCCTGGGGCTTGACCTCAGGGCCTGGGCACTGTCCCTGGGCTTCTTTTGCTAGCATTCTACCACTTGAGTCATAACACCACTGCTAGTTTTTTCTGTGTATGTGTTACTGGGGAACTGAACCCAGGGCTTCATGCATGCTAGGCAAGCACTCTATCACTAAGCCACATTTGCAGCCAGGGCAGTTTCTTATAAAACTAAAATTATGTGACCAGAACCTGTAGTCTTGCATATTCCTAGAAAATTAATACATTTACATAAAATACTTGTACTTTACAAGTATAAGACCCAAACTGAATACAACAGTTATCTTTTCAACAACTGAAAGCTTAAACACACTATAGTACATGTGTTATTACTTACTGAAAAAAATTTGAAACCCTCTTGAACATATTTCCTGAGTCATCAGAAAAATATGCTTAGTGGAAAAGAACTAAAATCAATCCCCAAAATTTACATAATGAAAAAGTATCATTCACACATTCAAGTGATCAAATCATAGAACTATAGGACAGATTAGAGACCCCAGAGGTAAAGGGTAAGTTAGTAGGAAGCAGGTAGATGTGGTCATGGGACTGCTCAGAGTCTTGAATAACTAAAATACCAAAATACTGAAACAAATGATTTCATTTTTTAGAATTTGAGACACATGCACAAAAACAGTATAAATAAAACAAAAATTGGGATTTGTGATATAATACTATAGTTTTGTGAAAATATTACTATTAATGAAAACTGAAAAAAGTATTCATTGAATCTCTCTGTCCTGAGGCATGAGCTCAGAGACTAGGAGCTGTCCATGATCTTTTTATTTTTTTATTTTTATTTTTATTTTTTTTAATTTTTTATTGTGCAAATATTGTACAGAGGGGTTACATAGGCAAGGTAATGAGTACATTTCTTATCAAGCATTGTTGCCTCCTCTATTTCCCCTTCCCATCCCTTCCCATCCCTTCCTATCCCCCCTCCCTCTGCCCCCCGGGCAAAGTTGTAAAGTTTGTTTTTCAACATAATGTCTTGTATATCTCATTGGTACAATGGGTCCACCTGTATCCCTATTTCAACTGTTTTTGCCCTTCCCCTCCACAAATTATACCAACATCAAATAAAATGAAAGCAAGGGTTATACCATGGGGGAGTGTCCATGATCTTTTTTTGCTCAAGGTTCTATCACTTGAGCCACAGCTGCCTTTCTGGAATTTTTGGTGGTTAATTGGAAGTAAGAGTCTCATGGACTTTTCTGCCCAGGCTGGCTTCAAACGTCAATACTCAGATCTCAGCCAATTGAATGTAAATGTACAATTAGATCAATACAAATTTTAATATGACCAGGCACTGGTGGTGCATGCCTACAATCCTAGCTACTTAGGATGCTGAAATCTGAGGATCACTGTTTGCATATTGATATCCATAGAAAATATTACTTATAATATTAAAATTAGAAACAATCCAGATAACCTTCAGTGTATGCGTGGCTGAAGAAGTGGTCCATCCACTTTTTGGAAGATAGTTGAACAAATGAAAAGATTGATACATGCAATAACTTAGATGAATCTTGAAAGAATTATGCTGAGTAAAAAAAAGTCAAAGAAAGCCAGACGTGGTGGCTCATGCCTGTAATCCTAACTACTCAGAGGGTTGTGATCTGAGGATCACAGTTCAAAGCCAGCTTGGGCAGGAAGAGCCGTGAGACTCTTATCTCCAATAAACCACTGAGAAAACCAGAAGTGGTGCTGTGGTTCAAGTGGTAGAGCACTAGCCTTGTGCTGAAGAGTTGAGGGACAGCACCCGGGCCCAGAGTTCAAGCACCACGATTGACCAAAAAAAAAAAAGTCAAAGACTCCAAAAGGTCAAATACTATATGACTCCATTTTTAATTCTCAAGGTGACTAAGTGACTGAGATGGAGAACAGATTGATTAATGGATGTTAAGAGAGACAAGGTTCTGGTGGGAAGGTAGGGGCTAGGACTGGAAAATGCTAACCTGGGGGATCTTTGTGGTGATAGAACTTTTCTCTATCCTGATGGATCAACATGCATGATAAAATTGCACCAGAAAAGCACATACACATAAAACCTGGGAAATGTAAATAAGATGGATGACTTGCATCTACATTAATATCCTAATTGTAAAGTTGTAAAGTTTTTATTAATTTTTGTCATTTATTATTAAGTTGGTAGGAGGGTTAGCATTTCATATGTCTGGTAATGAGTATATTTCTTTCTGGGCAGTGTCACCCCTTCCTTTGCTCAGTCCTACTTTCCCTCTCCCATTCCCACCCCAAAGTTGTATAGATCACTTTCGTAGTGTTTACTGAGTACCACTGCTGCACTTGTTCACCTTTTGTCCCTCCATTTCTGTTCCAAGATTCCTTTTAAAAAAAATTATTGTGAAAATACCATACAGAGGGGTTACAATTACATGGACAAGATAGTGAGTACATTTCTTATCAAGCATTGTTGCCTCCTTCTGCTTCCCCATACCAACCCTTCTCCTCTCCACCCCCCCTCTCCACTCCCCTACACCCACCTCCCAACTTTTCAACCCCTCACCCCACCAAAGTTGTAACATTTGTTTTACAATGAGATGTCCAAGATTCCTTAAATTAGGGAATTATGTCAGTAGACATGGAACCTCTCCATATAATTCTTGAAAATGTATGTGACTCTACAATTATCTCAGAATATCATTTTCAAATATAAACCTTTAAAATATGAAGTTGATCTGCATGTAACTTTCTTGCTAAAAAAAACTAACCATTAACTCTCTTAAAAGATGAAAAAGCACAACAGAAAACAATGGTTAATTCACAAAACCAGCAACTGTTTTCAGCTGGTTATTTTAATTTCTTCAAGGTTATACATTTTACATGGTTTTCCATTAAAACAATGTTTTAAATGTTGTGAGAGTAAATAAATCTCAGTCCATAAAGAATTTTGATTTCTTTCCATTATGTTATTCGACAAAGTCCGGTTCAAAGTCAGTTATAGGATGAATCCTGGGCCCAATGGGAGAGCGGCCTTGTGATGGGGTTATAGTAGATTGAACATGATATCCGGTGTGCTTGTCCTCAAAATCATCATTGGTATGCCCATATGTAACTATTTTAGGAGATTTAGATGCATACACTTTGGCTATTGGTAGCATGTGGAAATTCTCCTTCTGTGTTGTAAGAGGAGATTGGAATCTTACTGAATCAGTTGGATTGCGAGTGCGGGCCCTCATAGTATGATGATATTGAGTAGAGGATTTCCATGGTTCAACTGTTCCAGTTGGAGGAATCCATGTGCTACCAATAACTTGTGAATCCGCATTATCACCTTTAAAAATAGTATGCCAGGACTTAGATTTCTTCATGGTTTCATCTGATGTTAAAAACTCCAAGGGAACCTCTGAAGGAACTTGTGATGGTTTAGTTTTGCTCCAAGAATTACCCGTATAAGACATCAAGGAATCCATGTACCCCTCCATATTTGCAGTAGTTTCTGTACCATATTTACTTGTGCTGTCATATTTACCCGTAGTGCCACTAGATTGAACCCCAGATCCAGCTTTGGTAGTGCTATGGGCATTTGTGGATTGAGTCTCTTCCTCTAGGGGGGGACTCCACTGTTTGATTATTTCGGCCATGACTCGGTTCCATGTTTCCTCAGAAGAACTCGAAGCTTTTCCTGTATCAGGCTTATTGGAATCATATGCTGAAGATGTATCAGAAATGAGCTGAGGTAAAGAAGATTTAGCTGTGGAAGCTATTACAGAGTCCCTTGAAAAATCCTTATCATGTGAAGGGGTCGTTCGATGATATTGGACTGAATTATTTCTGTCACTTTCTGAAAATCTGGCAATAGAGGCTGTCCGCATAGGCTCAACTAGAAATTTGCCAACTTTTGAAACTTGGCTTCTTCCAAGAGTATGTTTATGACTTTCAGTGGAAGTTTGCACCTCTTTCAAAGTGAACATCCCAGAGGAATCTTTTAATGGTTTCGTTGGTACGGAAATGTCCAAAGAATCTATCGAATGCTTATGTGAGACCATGGTTGGGGTATACTCAGGGCCGTGCAGGATTGGGGGAATATGATCACTCTCTACCCTACAACGGATATTTGATGGCGGGGAATTTGTTTGCTTCTTGGATGCCTTGATAAATCGTTTCAGCCAGGTAAAGTAGGGAGCTGTCCTGACGATGATGGCAGGGTAATGACATATATTTGAAGCCCTATGTACCAGGCCTACCAGTTCCAAATGGTTCTTTAGAAAACATAGGATGGGACTAGCTTGCTGTACCTGAGTAAGGAAACCAAGAAAAAAAAGAAATATATATGTGTGTGTGTGTGTGTGTGTGTGTGTGTGTGTGTGTGTGTAATATATAGCATTACGTACACACACATATCACTTATGTAGTCAGCTATTCATACAATTCATGAGTTGTGTAAGGCACAAGGAGCTTCTAAGAGTTAACACTTTAAAGCAGGGGCACACATAATTGAAACACAGAAAAGAAAGGAGAATGTAGTAAACGTTAGGGCTAATTAGAAGCCTTCAGACTCCACAACCAACTGAATATAGATGCCTAAGACTTATCTCAAACTCAGGACCTTAAGATTTTTTGCTCAAGGCTAACACTCTATCACTTGTGCCATAGCTCCATTTCTGGCTTTTTTGTTGCTTAATTGGAGATGAGTCTCCCAGACTTTCCTGCTCAGCCTGGTTTTGAACCTTGATCCTTATATCTTAGCTTCCTGAGTACCTGGGATTACAAGTGTGAGTTACTAGTGTCCAGCCTCAAACTTAATGGTGGTCCATGCCTATAATACCAGCTACTCAAGAGGCTAAGATCTGAGGATCAGGGTGCAAAGCCAGCCTAGGCAGGAAAGTCTGGGAGACTCTTATCTCCAATTAATCACCAAAAAGCCAGAAATAAAGCTGTAGGTCAAGTGATAAAGTACTAACCTTGAGCAAAAAAGTTCAGGGACAGTGCTTAGGCCCTGAGTTCAAGCCCCAGGACCAGCACATTAAAAAAAGTACTGCTACAACAGTATGTTTCTACAGATTGGCACAAGGTCTAATACTCAATGTATCTACAGAAATAATATCGACACTTTATCTCTTGTGATTGGTTGTTCAGAAGTCCTAGCTATAACCTCCTTAATTTTGTATTCACTGTTTACCTCTCAATAAAATACAGTTCCATTCAAGTTTACTTAAGTCCTCATCTCTCATGCACATCCTATCCTTCACTAATGCAGTCAACAATCTTCCCAGTTCTAGGTTTATCTTGAAATCTTTCAATATTATGTCTGTACATGCTTTCAAGTTTCCAGGATATCTTGCTACATTTCATATGCCCTCTATCATACTAGTATATTACATTATAAACCCAGTGCTGGGTTTTATTTTCTGCATCCTTTCAGTGTGTGATGGGTGACCTAATCTTTTAAACTTTCTCACACTTAAGTTTGAACCATCCTCTGTTTATTATAGTGCATACAAAGAGGCTATAACATTTAAAATAGCTCATGTATTTTCATGTCTTTTATGCCCTACTGAGATTTTGAATTCAGGGCATGTTTACTAGGCAGACATTTATCTCTTGATCCATGCCGTTAGCCCTTTTTGCTTTATTTCATTTTTTTCAAAGAGAGACTCGTATTTTGTTGACTGGCCTAAATTGTGATCCTATTTATGCCTCCTGAATAGCTAAAATGAGAGGCATATGCCACCCCACTCAGCTTATTAACTGCAATGAGACTTCACTAAGTTTTTGCCAGGGTTTGCCTTTAATAGCAATTTACCCCATTCTTATCCCCTAAATATCACCAACTCCTTTCTCTGAATTTAATCACTGGCTTCAAAAGTGTTCCCTGTGGTAAAATCTTTGCCTCTTAAATATCCAATGAAACTTCCCAGATTCATTTACTTGCCTTTGTCAAATTTCCTTCACTCTCACATTTATAAAATTCTATATATTTACATTTCCCTCCCATTCTTCCTATTTGCCCTAGTGGTATAAATACCCAACAGTCTTGGAGTAGTTGGCCTTGAATGCAAAATCCCTCATTCTTCTTCAGGTCAGATTGTTCATGGTGGCAGACCGATAGATCCAGAAGATGAATTGGTACTTTCTTCACTCGGGCAGATACAAAGTCCTTGCTACCTAATGGAATGAATGATGGATAATATTGAGATACAGGCCACCCAATCACTGGCTTGATTTGTCATCATCACTCAAATGCAAATCCCATAGTCTTCCCAAGACATTTTCCCTTTCACCTCCATTTTCTTCCTCTCCTTTCACACCATAGTTTTTTTTCCTTGTACTTTCTGAACCTCTCACACCTTCTTTAAACTGCTTCCTACTTATTGGTTGAAATATTGTTTACACTCAGGGATAATCTGTTCCTCCCTTATGCTTCAGTTTAATCTCCAATGAATTGGAGCCTCCTGGACTTAAGATCTCCAATTTTCCTCTAGAGATTTCTCTCACCTCCAGAACATTAATTTTCTTGGAAAATTACTGAAGCTAAACTTACAAAATATTGCAGCTTAGCTCTTTTTACTTACTTTTAAATTGATACACCTGGCAATTGTCATATTGACATCTAGCACAGCTTTTCAAGGATACATTTGGAGACTGAGACAGTGATATAGTGTCAGATTCAAGAGCCTCATCAAGAAGAATCAAGCCAATATCTGCTTTCACAGGATCTTTTCCACCTTCAGGATCAAATTTAGGATGAATACATATACGCTGCCCGTGTTGGATATTCTCTGGATCATTGATTCCTGAAATATCCAGATGAGACATTTTCCTAAAGAAAATATTCATAACAATGCAATTAATGCTAATGAAAATGAAGATTCTCCAGTACGCTTTCTCCTGTGAATGCAGAGGTCAAAAGTATAAATGATGTAACTATTAGTATATGTCGAGGACAGCCCTAACAGAGGATCAAAATAGCTCAATAGGATATTCATATGACCACATAAAACGATACTAATCAAAATGAACTCCAAGATATGGAACAAGATGGTTTTTTATGCTGTTGTTTTTAATGTACTCTATGAAATTCTTTTTTTCTTTTCCCCTTTGGCTTATCCCCTGTAGTCACGGTGTTTGATTCCAGTACCCTGTGTGTGGTTTATATGTCTACCTGATTTGGGTAAGGGAAGGGGAATAACAAAATGAAGAAACAAAGGACAAGGGGTGAACCAATACAACAATGATACCCACAAGATGCTAGGTTAGAAATGAACTCTATAATTTGTGGCGCGAGGGATGCTTTGAAGAAATGTGGCAACATTTCCCACTGGTTGTTTCCCACTTTTTGAGCCAAATTGCACTGCTGAGGATGCTCTGAGCAAGCTTTTGGTTCCAGGTCACTTACCATAGGGGTGGGACATTCCTCAGGACTCCCCCTTGGGTTGTCCTTAAATAATCTAAAACTGCTCCAACTTGAACTTGTCATTGATTCACAGGAGCTCATATACTTCTGTACTGAGATCTGGACCAAATAGTCACTGGCCCATTCATGGGACACTGAATCCTGATATTGTACGGGATCTATCCAGCTTCTGCAGGTGGTTGGGCAGGTTAAAGGAGGCCAGTTACGTAGATGCTATCTCTTTTTTTCTCTCCTTCCTCCAAACTAAACTTCTTCCTGAGTCCTTAAATTCTCCTGCCCAACTCTTCCTGGCCACAAAGCCACCAGCTTATAACCCAAACTCTATTCCAGATCCTGTTGATGAGTCGCCGCCATTTCGAACACATGGGGCAATAGCCCCTCCTACTGTGACAGAAGAGGTGGGACTTCCACTAAAGGAGGTAGGACTTCCACTTAAGGGGGGGTGGGACTTCCACTGGAGGTGGCAGCCCCATACCCCGCCATTGAGCCGGCAGCCCTCAGCCCACTGGTCACCTGCTCCTGCACCCTCCACTCCCACACCATCCAAGGCCAAGGCCCCCTTCCGTTGGCACCCCTCTTCCCCCACAGGACAAAAGCACCCTGTCCTGACCACTGTGAACCAGCTGTCTCAGCTGAAAGATGCCCTGGAGATTGTTCTGTGCCTTGCAGAAACATTGAGGACCATCCTTATCCAGACCCAAGAGCCTGCTACAGCTCAGAGTTCCACCTCAGTCCACATTCTCCTGTTAAGCAAGGTGGCAGAGGCCCATGGCATAGTCACAGTGCATAAGTCATTCTCATTAAATGACCTAACACAGATTGAGATGCACCTGGGGTCTTTCGCCGCCAATCCCACTGCCTATATCAAAGAGCTGTGGCATGTATTCCTATCGTATGAGGTAACCTGGCATGATGTATATGTAATCTTGAGTAATACCCTTTTACCAGGGGAACAGCGGGATGTTTGGGAAAAGGCCCGCCACTATGCAGATGAGACCCACCGGACCACCCCTGATCACCCAATTGGGACTGAGGCAGTGCCTGACCAGGAGCCTCACTGGAATTACAATTCCCGGGATGGTCACCAAAGGCAAAATCAATTTACTGCCTGTATCATGGAGGGCCTCAAACAGGCAGGCCACACAGCCATCAACTATGACAAAATGGCCACAGTCATACAAGACAAAAGTGAAAACCCATCTGCCTTTTGGGCCAGACTGAGTCAGACCCTCCTTCAATATACTAACCTAGACCCTGAGTCTGTGGATGGACAATGCTGTTTAATGACTCATTTTATTAATCAATCTGCTCCAGACATCTGGGATAAATTTTTTAAAAAACTAGACAGGTGCCCCTAACACCCACTAGTGAGGCTATGGAGGCGGCTTTTAAGGTTTATCACAGCAAGGAGAAAAAGGCCAAACAGCTCAAGTACCAGATGCTAGCCAAAATCTACCAGCCTCCAGCCTTGCAACCAACCCCTTCCCAAGGGGATCCACCTGAGCCCTGCTATGTCTGTGGTTGAAAGGGGCAATGCAGGGGAACCTGCCCCATGAAGAAGCCATGCTACTGATGTGGCCAGTTAGGCTACAGGGGCCCAGCCTGCCCACAGTCATGTGAGCCAACCTGACCATGCCCCAAGTGCAAGGTTTCAGGCTTTGGGCTGTGGACTGTCCATCATCCTTCAGGGACTAAGGCCCCATTGCCTACTCCTGACATTCTGGGACTGGCTGCCAGACAAGACTGAAGAGGCTCTGGACTCCTGGCCCCGACAACTCCCATCACCACACAGGAACCCAGGGTGACAATCATAGTTGCAGGTAAAATGATCTCGCTTTTAGTAGACATAGGTGCTATTATTCAGTGCTCACTGAGTTCCATGGCCAGACTTACCTAGCAAGTACCTCCATAGTCAGGGTAAAGGGGAAAACCATACAACCCCCCCCAAAAAAACCCTGCAATTTGACTTTTTTCAGGAGTGACCTTCTGTCACTCCTTCCTTGTTATTCCCCACTATGCAATTCCACTGCTGGATAGAGGCCTTTTGGCCAAATTTGGAGCCTCTATTACCCTATGCCCTTCCCAACTAGCACAATGTGATATTGATTTGGTCTCCCCCATGATCTCTTTGTTGATAGCTTTAGTAGGCTCACCTAGCGACCCCTTGGATTCCCCTTTTCCACCCACCAAGATAGACCCCAAGGTGTGGGATACCCACAATCCCTCTTCTGCTAAACACCACCCTCCTATTCATATCTCTCTGAGGGGCCCCCAATGCTTCACATCATAACTCTAGTACTCACTCCCTCACTGCACGCAGTCTTCTGGGACTGCAACCAATTATAAAAGACTTCTAAGAAAAGGGCTATTACACCCCTACTAACTCTCCCTATAATACCCCCATCTTAACAGTAGCCAAAACTAATGGCTTGTTCTGTCTGGTACAGGACCTTCGCCTTATAAATACTGCTGTTCCCACAAAAAATAAAATATCTAGGAGTTAAAGAAGTGAAGGAACTCTACGATGAAAACTTCAAAAACCTGGAAAAGGAAATTAAAGCAGAACTAAGGAAGTGGAAAAACCTCCCATGCTCCTGGATTGGGAGGATTAACATCGTGAAAATGGCAATACTGCCAAAGGCTATCTACAAATTCAATGCAATACCTCTCAATATTCCAACCTTATTCTTCAATCAAATAAAAGCAACAAAAAAATCATATGGAACAATAAAAGACCCCAAATAGCAAAAACAATCCTTAACAGAAAGAACAGTGCTGGAGGAATACCAATACCAAATTTCAAACTACTACAAAGCCATAGTAATCAAAACAGCTTGGTACTGGCACAAAAACAGACCTGAGGACCAATGGAACAGAACTGAAGATCCACAAATGAACCAACACACCTATAGCCACCTAATCTTCCATAAGGCAGATTTAAAGAAAGACAGCCTCTTCAGTAAATGGTGCGGCAAAATTGGTTAAACACCTACAGAAAACTAAAGCTAGATCCTTATATATAACCCGGCACCAGAATCAACTCCAAATGGATCAAAGACCGGGGAGACACAAGATATCCCAAATAAGTTGAAGCGTTCTTTTTTCTAATGATTTTTTTTGTCAGTCATGGGGATTGAACTCGGCTTGGGCACTGTCCTTGTGCTCTTCAGCTCAAGGTGAGCACTCTACCAGTTGAGCCACAGCACCACTTCCAATTTTCTAGTGTTTAATTGGAAATAAGAGTCTCACAGACTTTCCTGCCCAGGCTGGTTTTGAACCCCAATCCTCAGATCTCAGCCTCCTGAGTAGCTAGGATTATAGGCGTGAGCCACCGGCACCTGGCTCTAATAAATTTATTTTAAAAAATTCTACTTTTTTCAGTATTTTTATTTTTTTCCTTTTTCCCTTTTGTTCTTTTTGTTTTTTTTTTCTCTACTTAATTGTTCTGTTCAACCCCAGCTAGTTAGCTAAGAGTGATTATTAGGCCTCCTCCTTCACTGTGTCCATATTCAATTCAGACATCGATTACTCAATTCACAATTTCTCAATCTTAATACCTCTAATTGTAGTATTGTTTGTTTATACTTTTTATAATTTTTTTCTTTTTAATTTCTTTATATTTTTTCCTGCTTTTTGTTTTTTTTCTTCTTCTTTTTTTTTTTTTTTGGTTGGTCATGGGGCTTGAACTCTGGGCCTGGGTGCTGTCCCTCAGCTCTTCAGCTCAAGGCGAGCACTCTACCACTTGAGCTACAGCGCCACTTCCGGTTTTCTGGTGGTTTATTGGAGATAAGAGTCTCACAGTCTCTCCTGCCAGGGCTGTCTTTGAACCACCATCCTCAGATCTCAGCCTCCTGAGTAGCTAGGATTACAGGTGTGAGCCACCAGCACCGGGCTTCTTCTTTATTTTTTCTTTATCTCTTTTTCCTATTGCTGAATTCACATCTTACCTTCCCTCTCTTCCTTTCCTTCCCTACAGTCCTCAAATCTTATTTTCTCCTTATTCTCCTTAAACCTCTTAATTTTTGGTCCTCTGCTCCTTTTTTAATTTCCATAGTCCACTGATCCCTACTGGTTTGTTGTTGAGCTGGACTGTATCTGTATTCATTTTGACTGGGTCAAAATGGCTCATTAAGTTATGCCTTTGGTCCAGATTCAAACTTCATGACAGATTGGATCACTGATTAAAACTGTATATAATCCCCATCTCCCAGAATCAACTCCAAATGGATCAAAGACCTTGAAGTCAAAGCAGACACCCTGAAAACATTACAGGAAGGAATAGGAGAAACCCTAGGGCTCCTTGGCACAGGCTGAAATTTTCTTAATAAAGACCCAGAAACACAACAAATCAGAGAAAGGTTGGACAAATGGGATTGCCTAAAACTGCAGAGCTTCTGCATGGCACA